CAGATAAGGAACTTGTGAAGTTAAGATTAGCAAGATTGGCTGATAAAATTCAGTTTAATACTACAGCAAGGGAAGGAAGAGTATTACGTAACGTGACTAGAAATGATAAGTAAAAATGGACAAGTTTACATGATGTCTGAATTATTGTTTAATAAGCTTGAAGTTGAAGGGACATTTTAAATGTGTACATTATTATTATTCCTGGTGTGGAAATCTTGCAACTCTAGTTTCTCGTGAAATTTTAAATTTTACATTGTATTTTTATATTTGTCTTCTGTTTGGTTCTCTGTAACTTCATGAAAATTGTCAAAAAGTTTGTTGTTTTTTTTTCATGATAACCTCAATGAATCAAAAATGAAATTGTTCTCATTTATCATCTTTATGATAAACAATTGTTGAGTGTGAATTGTAAAACTCTAGTTGAAAGATCTCCTCTTGTGTGGCTACTGTTGTACATACAGATGGTGATAGGTAATTTTATAAGCGTTATGTCCCCCTGGCACGGCATATGGTGTGTCAAAGCACCCCATTTTGCTAGACTTCATCTGATACAAGCAAACATATATGGTCCCATACCAATAAGCCTTACAACTTTAACACAACACATATATAAAGTTAGCTGTACAACCAATGTTAAACCTCTACTACCATCAACATATAATAACACACACAAAAATATAGCCACCTTTTCCTTTTCTTTTCTCCAGAAGGGGTCCTGAAAAGTTACATGAAAAATAATCTCTGAATTTTAATGAAACAAAAAACACTGAAGGCGTTTACAAATAAAAAGATTCTCTAAATTTTTAACAGCTTCCTGTCCCCAAAAACATTTCCCACAAAAAATGAAATTGTTCTCATTTATCATCTTTATGATAAACAATTGTTGAGTGTGAATTGTAAAACTCTAGTTGAAAGATCTCCTCTTGTGTGGCTACTGTTGTACATACAGATGGTGATAGGTAATTTTATAAGCGTTATGTCCCCCTGGCACGGCATATGGTGTGTCAAAGCACCCCATTTTGCTAGACTTCATCTGATACAAGCAAACATATATGGTCCCATACCAATAAGCCTTACAACTTTAACACAACACATATATAAAGTTAGCTGTACAACCAATGTTAAACCTCTACTACCATCAACATATAATAACACACACAAAAATATAGCCACCTTTTCCTTTTCTTTTCTCCAGAAGGGGTCCTGAAAAGTTACATGAAAAATAATCTCTGAATTTTAATGAAACAAAAAACACTGAAGGCGTTTACAAATAAAAAGATTCTCTAAATTTTTAACAGCTTCCTGTCCCCAAAAACATTTCCCACCATGACATTGTGGAACAGAAACCAAAAAAAAATTAAGCCATCGCAAAATTTAGACCAAAAATTATTAACAAAGCTGTATCGACAATAAGACATAACCGTTGGATTTACCTTTACTTTTTTTCTGCTTCCGCGTCGTGCTCAAAGTGAGAGACAAACTGTTCCACCTCGTTGACACAGCCCAGGGTCAAGTTGCTGGAAGAATCAAGTCTTTGTTGAGTGGGAGGATAGTAAAAAACATGTGACATTGAAAACATGCTTTCAAGTTTTAAACCACATGGACAGGGACACAGTTGATGAGCAGAAAATGACAAATGGTCAAGATAATGATACTTAGCAGCAATTGGTAGAGGGGTAAATGAAAAATTTCTCAAAGGTCATTTCAGTATCCACAAAAACATCAAATAGTTTAGACTTCAAAGAGATTTGAAATAACAAAATGGTCAGTTTTAATTAAAGCTGAAATTCGGAACATATTCTATTAATGACTGAAACTTTAAAGAACTAAAATTGTGTCACACGATCTCCCTCAAGGGAGACATTGCAATGAGGTCACCATTTCTCTTTAAAGGTTTTAGAAAATGTTATTAAAATGGACTTTCACAGTGTGAGATAATTTGAAATAAACTGTCACTGACTTGGCAACTGGTCTCTTCCACAAGTCATCTGGGTTCAACATGTCCATATTCATGCTGAAATCTCCTTCAATTGTTGACCCTTTGCAAAGCTTACGCGTGTCAACCCCCAGGAGGTTGTTCATAGTCACAACGCTCTCTGCACATGTGCTGTGGCTTCCAAGACTGTGTTCGGATGATGCGTCACTCTCTGTCAGGAACATTATTTTTTAGTATTTTTGCATACCTTGCATGAAACCAATTATAGTTACAACATCGAATGATTCTTTTTTGTAAATTAATCTTATTTCTTTTGCACTTATTTTGAACTACACAAAGTAAACTTAAGATACAATGAAATAACTGCCTTAATTTCATTCTCAAGCCAGAAGAATTTAAACGCAAGGAACATAATTTATATGTTAAAAAAAAAATAAGATTTAATACACAATAGGTACTAATAAGTACAAGACCAGGTAGAAATGTTGAGGAATGTGCAGTCTGTCTTTTTCTATCCCAAGTTCCACAAATTAAAAGGAATACAATACTGAAAACAAAGATCAATTCACCTGAACGTTTATGGCCCTTCTGGAAAGACTTGCTGGACATATCCTCAGACATCTGGACTGTGCAGATGAGATCAGATAGGTATCTGTAGCAGGGACTGGTTTGACGAAAACAACACAGCGATACAAATGCTACTTGAGCAAAAATGCCGAGCGTACAAGGCCCTCCATGATGACCCAATGTCAACAGCAAAGACAGCTGCACTTAGGGGCATCCGCAGCAAGGTCCAGATACAACTGCCCCAGATGCAAGATTCCTGGTTAAATTCAAAAGATGATGAAATACAGGGCTTTGCAGACAAGAAAGACACGAAAAACTTCTACCGTGGCCTGAGAGAATTATATGGTGTTGCCACATCAGGCTCTTGCCCTCTCCTTTGTGCTGACGGTTCTACACTCATTACAGACAAAGAGAAAATCTTGGAAAGATGGGCGGAACACTTTGAAAGTGTGCTCAATACACCTTCCATCATTTATGATGAGGCCATTGAAAGACTCCCCCAGGTCCCAACGAACAATTCACTGGACGCCATCCCAACTTTTGATGAGACACAGACAGCGATCCGCCAAATGTCCAATGGCCAAGTACCTGGACCGACATGATTCCTGCCGAAATCTACAAAGAGGGTGGACCACTGCTGACAGATAAGCTATTGTGTTTATTCCAAATCATCTGGTAGACGAAAACGGTACCACAAGACCTCAAGGATGCCTCAATTATCCACCTGTACCAACACAAAGGAAACCGCCAGGCCTGCGACAATCACCGCAGAATTTCACTACTGTCCATTGCAGGCAAGATCTTGGCCCGAGCCCTTCTGAACCGCCTGAATGCACATCTGGAGCTAGGTCTCCTACCCGAAAGTAAATGTGGTTTCCGTAAAAAACGCGGAACCATCGATATGGTGTTTGCTGCTAGACAACTTCAAGAGAAATGCCAGGAACAAAATACAGACCTATATTCTACATTTATCGACTTGAATAAAGCCTTTGACAGGGTCAATAGAGGTGGCCTGAGGAAAATCATGAAGAAATACGGATGCCCAGACAAGTTCACCATCATCCGTCAGCTGCATGATGGTATGATGGCCCGAGTGCAGGATAACAGTCAATCATCTCAAGCATTCCCCGTCACAAACGGTGTAAAGCAGGGTTGTGTTCTTGCTCCCACACTCTTTAGTATTATGTATTCCGCAACGCTGTCTGATGCGTTTAAGGACTCCACAACAGGCTTGCCAATCCGGTTTCGTACTGATGGATCAGTATTTAACCTTAAAAGGCTTCAAGCTAAAACCAAGATCAAACATACCACGATCAATGAGCTTCTGTTTGCAGATGATTGTGCCCTCAATGCTCCCTCAGAAGCCATCATGCAACACGGCGTTGATATCTTCTGTGAGGCCTACAATAACTTTGGCCTCACAATCAACACAAAGAAGACTGAGGTGATGTATCAGCCAGCTCCCAGTAAGCCCTACGTTGAACTCAACGTCATCATCAGTGGAGAGCTTCTCAAACCCGTGGATAAATTTACTTACTTGGGCAGCCCCCTCTCTAGATCTGTCGTCATGGTTGATGAAATGAATTGCAGACTCGCAAAAGCTAGTGCCATATTTGGCAGGCTCCGCAGCACTGTTTGGGACAGGAGAGGTATCAGACGAGAAACAAAGCTCAAGGTCTATAGCGCAGCAGTCCTCCCGACACTGCTCTATGGATGTGAAACGTGGACAGTCTACCAGCGTCCAAAAAACTGAATCATTTTCACACTACCTGCCTCAGGAAACTCCTCGACATCAGGTGGTAAGACAAAGTCCACGACACCGAGGTCCTCGCTAGAGCGAACCTACCTAGTATATTCACCCTTCTGATGCAGTCTGAGCTCCGTTGGATGGGACACGTAGCCCATATGGAAGACCACCAGCACCCGAAACAATTATTCTTCGGAGAACTCACGATAGGCAAGCGCTCCCAAGGAGGTCAAAAAAAGCGTTACAAAGACTCACTGAAAGTGGCACTAAAGGCCTTCAGCATAAACCCTACTCAATGGGTGCAGACAGCCCAGGACAGAGCCAGGTGGAGAGCTGCTGTCAAGAAGGGGGCAAAATTCCATGAAGACAATAGAATAACCACAGCTGAGACACGCAGGCTTGTCCGAAAGAGCAACGGTGCCCATGGTGTCATAGATTATTCCGAGCAAGGAAAGGTCTAGCATGCCACCTACGAGTTCACCGTAATTCCAACCTCCCCCTAATCGGATGATTCGATGGTTCTTGTCAACTTCGACGGACGAACAATAATCTGTAACAGACCTGACTCTGAAGGTAGTTTGAGAAGTACATCTAGTGAAAGATAGTGTGACTGAATCAGTTGGAATATTCCAGAAGTAACAGAAGGCATCATTGTCATTGAGTGAACTAGCATCACATACTGTCTGAGCGAAAAATAATCATCACAAAGATCCAGTGGTGAAAATATAAAATTGATGGCATGTGAACAACCTTATCTATGATCTTCAGCACAATGTTCTTGGCTGTAGTAAAACATCCTGGCATACAAACATCCTCAATTTCAAATCTCATTTTATCCGAAAAGCCAACAGGATTAGTGGCCTGGAGGGAAAAATATCTGTGAACATGGAATGGAGATAACTGGCTAGTTTATTCTCTAACTTAACAACAAAGATGCAGTGGCAGTGATTCAATGACCAGTTTCTATAGTGGTAGTGATTCAAGTAATGACCAATTCCTATAGTGGCAGTGATTCAAGCCATGAACAGTTCCTATAGTGTCAGTGATTCAAGCAATGACCAGTTCCTATGTCTAAAATGTCCTTTAAAAACTGAAAGAGAACTACCTCGTCATCTAACATAGCAAAATAAATTAAGATGATAAAAAAGGGTTCATATTATCTCATTAATTGAAATGTTAAAAACAATTTTTTTAAAAACTTGATTAAAACCTGTAAGTAGGTTTATTGCTCTACGTGTTTTCAACAAACATGATGTGTTTGTTTGTTTCAATGGGTGGTGCTGGTGATGCACATGTGGTTCCAGAGCTGGGCTGGGACAATACAGCAGATACATTTAAGAATGCAATATAAAATAATTTAGAGTAAATAAAGAGAAGCTTAAAAACAAAATATTAAAAACCAGTTAATGGAGTATTATGCCATTTCAGCACTTTTATTCTCAATATCAGGAGTAAATACATCTTGCTTATAATGTCTCTTCTTCCCGCTATCTTATTTTGAAATACTTTATTTAGTGCACAGTCATGGTTACAGATGTGTTATGTACTATTTTGGATATGATTAGTTATTTGGAAAAAAATTAGCTTTAGAAATAATCGAATGTAAAATATAAATATGATCTGACATTTAAATTAATCTGAATTCTGCCAACTTAGTAACTTTTCCAAAATTAAGCATAAGCCCCCATCATGATCTGATCAGTTTTTATCTTTAGTAACTAACACATTGGTAAAATCTCCCTTAATGCTGCAATTGGTAAAAAATAGTAAAGTGTTTGATACCTGTCATATAAAACCATGGCAACAATCTGTGCTTGCTCGCAATTGTAAGATCCGCTTGTGGACAGCAGTTGTTGGAAATTTTCAGCTCCAAGCCACATCTGCATAAGGTCACTAGCGCCCTCTTGTTCCATAAATTGTAAGTGGAGGTAAAACCTCAATCATTTAAATATTTTAAACTGACTTGACCAAATTACTTTAATTTTTTAATTACTGGTACACAACTTTTTAAAATTAACCCAATCAATAGTATATGTGGTCGAGTTAGAATTAATATTGTAGAACTACTGATCTCAGACCAAGAGTAAAATTTATTTGTCAAATTTTAATTTACTGGAATGTATATTAATTAATTAATTCACTATTTCCATGATATGACATGAAACTAATTCCTCACTATTCCCATCCTGTGAAAATAACTTAATTCCTCACTATTTCCAAAATCTTACCTCCATAAAGTAACGAATCTTACCTCCATAAAGTAACAAATCTTACCTCCATAAAGTAACACAGAGAATATCTGGTAAGAACAACTTCTGTTATTTAGCAATTTTTATTTTCCTCAAAAAAGATTTTCTTAATAAAACTTTACTATTTCATTATGGGCTAAACTAATGACATTACATATGTAAACCTGTTCAACCATTCAGATTGAGCCGAGTGAACACTTACTCTGATTCTAGCTTATTTAACACAAATCTCCGACAGCTGGCAAAACACTCCGGATCTACCTCACCATTTTCTTGACAAATTTTACCTGTGAAATCATTGGGAGAAGTCACAGAATTCATTAAGATACTTATTACATAATGCAACGATTGCACATGGGTTGGTAATAGCCATCACTGAAAAATATATTGTGAAATACTGTATACAAATCCACACAAAATAAATTACTGTCATGGAGACATAATGAGCATCGAATAACTGCCAAGGCACTTATGCACGGACAGTAAGACTTACTGATGGGTTCAGCTCTAAGCGTGTCATCAACTCCAATAGGTTTTGGTGAGCCTTTAGCGATGTAAGTTGAAAAAATTGTTACAGCATCTCGTTCTATACCTGACAGAAAGTAACGTATTCATAAATGACTAGAATGATTGAAAGAAGTAATTTCGTCAAGAAATCTAGTTTGAAATCTTAGTATAACAATAGGAGGAACTGAACAAAAATTGTGTTGAACTGACTGTTAAAGATTGAGGTAGTCCAAATATCATAACTTTATTATTAAGAAATTCTAAATAGTCCATAAGTAGAATTGTGCAAAGGAGAAAAACTAAGTTTTGTTAAAAAATGTGAATCAAGCAAGAATGAAAATTACTGCTATGGGTGAGGGAATATGTTTCTTTTACATCAGAAATAATTCTTTATTAGTCTAAACAAAAATACAACCCCAGCCTCACAAATGAGAGGCAGAGGGTTCAATTCTATACAATGTACATACTTTTTTAAAATCGTGTTATTGTTCAAATGAAATTATGTTTAGGAGTATTTACACAAAAATTATTTATTCTCATTGATTTCATTGTTCATATATTTTGCAGAGTTATGAAGTTAAAAACAAATTGCTTTTAAGACTGCTGAATCATGGGATTTTCTGAATAGAGGAAAATAGAATGTACAAATATATTGTCATAAAAGAATTTTTATAATAAATTAAATCCTTTTTTTTAATACCATTCATTTCAGTTATTCACGATAAATCTCAAATTCATTTGTTGATATACGGGTATATGAATTGTAATGTATATTTATTTATGAAAATGTCCATAACTTTTTACAGCTCCATCTAGATAGAACTACAGTTTGCTGTTACAATATAGGTAAAGCTATAAAGACTAAGGGACATCCTAAAAGAATAACCAACAATAACAAATCTTAGCACAACAAATTGCTCATACGTTAACATTCTACCATTACTCCATTTTATCCTTTTACAACAGACGCTAACACAACCCCTACCCAACCTCCCCAAAAAAAAAAACCCAACCTACTCTTCTTTAGCTTGTTGGCAATGTCTTCTTGACTCACTTCCACTGGTGTAGCGAATTCTGTTTCTGTGGGTATATTTTCACTGCTAACAGTTTTGGAAAGCTGGGTCAGTGATGCTGCCTTGGTTGATTCACTGTAGTCACAGCCAAAAGTTTCTGAATCATGAGCAGAAAAACTCAACGACTTAACAACATTTTTATCACAGATGGTGGACGCTGAGATTTTTTAACTTGTTACAGTATCATCTGAAGGCATGCAAGTTGTATGGTTAGGCTGAGCTGTCACATTTAAATTTGTAGGGGCTGTCAAGGACTGGTGATTGGTTTGATTTGTGTTATCAAGTGGGGAGTTAGAATATTGCTTTGGTGTTGGCAAGGAGTTTTTAACATCAGGCGGGACTTGATTAAGTAGATCTGTAGGCGTAGCCAGAATAGATCTATTTTGATTTTGTTCAGTGTTTCTTGGCGAAGGAATACTATTGATAGCCAAGTCTGTGTCAAGGGATGCTGATGAACCATAGTTCAATACTGGGCCAGAAGCAAAGCAAGCATCAGAGTTGCTATGTCTAAAGCTGTCACTGCGTGCACTTTTGGAAATGTTCTGTAAAGACTGAGTTCGAAGACGCATGAGAGTTGAGACGTGGAAGGATTCAGCCTCACACCAAAACTGGATGATGTGCTCAGCACTCTGGCTTTTCATGAAGGACTTGAAGCAGGACAGTGCATCTTTGTCTCTTCTCACCTCTGTAAGTGTTTTAGATCATCGAGATGTGCTTCTCATAGGTGATTCAAGAGAATTTTCTGGAATATCTGTCAAGGTGGGGAAAAAAAAAGGGTAACATTCATTAAAAACCGTAATATTATAACATTTTTAGAGAGAATATAATTTTATACTTATCATGGAGATAACATTAAATTAAATTCACGACAGTATTAACTGAAATATCTTTACCGGCACCATCTTGCAATACTTCTTCTGACAACATTAATGTTCTTGACCTTTGCTCCCATGGTATGCTTCCATTGAAGTCACTGTAATGATGATCCAACAATGGCAATAAAAATGATTTAAAATGCAATACATTATGGTTCTCAAACAACAACAAAATCAGGTCAAATGGTATTTTAATGAGTGTACTGATATCTTTAGGCATTAACTATTTTGAATATTCATATATTCACACTATTGCAAAATGTTTATAATAAATTATGCAGACCTATATCACTTTCCTCCCCCCATGAGTTTGGTGTTGATGGTGAGTGTGGCAAACTTTTACTGGACTTGTTTCATGGAGTTCTGATTAAACCTGAACTTGTACATTAGAGACTTTACTTGCCTGTCACCTGGGCAAAACAAAAAGAGTTTCTTAATTATTTACAAAAACTCAACAAGATAGTTAAAAATGAAGTTTAA